AGCTTCTTTCTCCCAAAGAACTGTGCCAACCCGTATTGGACCTTCCACAAGTCGATATAAAAACCTGTCCCGAATACATCAAGAGGAGGTGATAGTCTAGTGGTGTTATCGCTCGATTATTAATTCAGAGACCCAGCTAATGTTCTGGGGACTTGGTTTGAATCCTGCCATGGGCACATGTGTGGAATTTGAATTCAAATTTTAAAAAAATTAGAATTAATTGTCTGATGATGATGATGATGATAATGAATTGATTGCCAATTTTCGGAAAAATCCATCTGGTTCACTAATGTCTTTTAGAGAAGGAAACTGCCATCTGGTTCACTAATATCCTTTAGAGAAGGAAACTGCCATCCTTACCTGGTCTGACCTACATGTGACTCCAGACCCACAGCAATGTGGTTGACTCATAACTGCCCTCTGGTCAATTAGGGATGGGCAATAAATGCTGCCTAGTCAGAGATGCCCTCATCCTGTGAATAACTCTTAAAAAAAATTCATGCTATCAGGCTCCTCTGAACCCTTTAGGTTATTGTTATCTCAGTTAATGTTGAGGACGTTAGAATTCTGCAATATAATTACCACATTATTACATACCCCAGCAAACTGTCTGGTGTTGCAGGTGAGAGCGAGGGTGCTGGAACTATCTGAGACGAGATGGTGGCAGTCACTCTGGTGGATTTGAGAAGGTCAGTGTTAGATGTGTCTCTGGGTGGTTTGGGGCTGCACTGACCAGCCTGGCAGGGTCCAGGCTCAGCACCTTCTCTGTTGGAGGGAGAGGATGCAGCTCCTCTGCATGAGCCCCTCCATTGGGAGGTCCAAGTGCCCGCCCACAAAGCCGGGCACAAAGTTACCCCAATCTGACCGGGAGGGTACTGGGGAGCTCAGGACTGAGAGTGCCTGACCGGGTTAACAGTCACTGTTTCAAAATGGTTTTGGAGCTGGGAATGCATTCTATCGGGTGAGTGGGAGGCCGGAATCAGTGCAGTGTCACTGTGGAGTGATACAGAGTTAATAAGGCAGGTTTAGGATTCACAGAGAGAAGCCCTCCCCTAACATTCAACAAGAAACTACACTTAATCTGTGGTTATGTTCATGCCCGGATGTCATTGGAGAGAGAACATGCAGTGCCCATCAATGTCTCGATGCCTTTAGGGAGAGGTGGGCAGGGGGCAGAGTGATTTATTTCCCCCTCCAACTCCAATTTGCTTTAGTCCCCTTCCACGTGCCCTAAACCCCCCCACCTCACCCCACCCCCTCCCTCACTTTTTTATTGCTGTCAGCATTGCCTTTAACAGGACACGACTGGCCACATGGTGTTTTCATTGGCTTGGTGGGGGTGGGGGTGGGGTGAGGCACGGGGAGCATGCACAGATCCAAGTCTGTTCACAATGGTGTCTTGTTACAGTCTCAGTGCATGTACAAAACGTATCACTCGGGTGACAGGTAGAAACAGAAAAGGAAGCGTCCACTAAATACCAGACACAGGTGGGCCCTCTTATGGTGCAGTGGTAGTGTCCCTACCCCTGGACTGAGAGACCTGGAATCAAGCCCCATCTGCTCCAGAGCTGTGTAAAGCATCAAAAAATTACACTTACCCAATTTTAGTTATTATTCGGTCTTTTAGTCCCTGTTGAACACAAAAGCTTCAGATTCTCTCTCTCCCTTGCTTCCTTCCCATCTCTCCCTCTCTCCCTCCCTCTCTCCCTCCCCCTCTCTCTCCCTCTCCATCTCTCTCTGTCTCCCTCCCCCTCTATCTCCCTCCTCCCTTCCCATCTTTCTCTCTCCTTCCCCATCTCTCTCTCTCTCCCCCCTCCCTCTCCCCATATCTCTCACTCCCTTCCTCCTCCTCTCCCTCCCTCCCACCTCTGTCTCTCTCAAATCATTCCTATTTCTATTTGTTCTGCCCCTTTCTCTTTCACTTGCTCTCTCCCTCTTCAACTATCCCTTTCTCTTACATTCACCCTCTCCCTTTCTCTCTCTCTCCATCTCTTTGTCTCTCTCTTCTTTCTTCCTCTCTCTGTGTCTCTCTTTCCCTCTCTCTCTTGTTCTCTCTGTCCCCCTCCCTCTCTCTCTGACTCGTCTCACTCTCTCCCCACCACCCACACCCTCTGTCACTCACTCACCCTCATTTCTCCCCTTCACCTTCTGTTTCACTCTCCCCCATCTCTCTCACTCATTCTCTGTCCCTCCACTCTCTCTCCCTCCTCCTTTATCTCCCTCACGCTCTCCCCGCCTCACTCTCTCCCATGCCTTCCTGCTCTCTGTGACACACACACAGCCTCTCTGAACCATCTCCATATCTACTTCCCTTAAATAAAGTTGTTGAACTTTGTCAGCATAATATTTTTTAAAATGTTTTGACAAGCGGTTGCGCCTGAAATGTGTCACAGGAACTGAGCAGCTCTTTCAGCATCAGGGCTGGGTGCTGCCTTTGTGATTTTTGTGGCTTTTTTCCGAGACCTCTTTAGATTGACTGCTGACCCTCTTCGGCCCTTCCATTGGAGGCACAAGGTATGGGATCCATCCCAAATCCTGGAATTTCCAATAGAGTGGGTGAGAGTCCATGTGAAACTGGGTGAATCCCTCATGGGACAGGGACAAATCTGAGGATTCGAGACAACAAGGTGCAGAGCTGGATGAACACAGCAGGCCAAGTAGCATCATAGGAGCAGAAAGGGTGCTCTGATGAAGGGTCTAGGCCCGAAACGTCAGCCGCTCTGCTCCTATGATGCTGCTTGGCCTGCTGTGTTCATCCAGCCCTGCACCTTGTTGTTTCGGATTCTCCAGCATCTGCAGTTGCTACTATCTATGGTCTGAGGATTCCCAGTTCCTGAATCTCCATCTGTGGTCCTTGGGAAGGAGAGTTTGGAATGAAAGGGAACATGGTTTGATGAGGGTCTTATCTCCAGTATGATCAATCGGACCTTTAACCTGATACAATGATGTTTATCTTATCCCTGAGAACATAAGAACTGCACATGGATAATGTAGTATGGAACGGTCCAACAGACCTTTCTAAGAGTAGGGAAGTCTTACTGTAACAGTACAAGGTGCTGGTGAGACCATATTGGAGTACTGTCAGCAGCTTTAGCTGCTTCATTTAGGGAAAGATATCATTTCATTGGAGGCAGCTCAGGGAAGTGTAACTCGGATGATCCCTGGTACGGAGAGATTGTCTTATGTACAAAGGCTAAACAGGTTGGGAATCTCCTCACTGGAGTTTAGAAGAATGAGAGATGATCTCATTGAGACATACAGGATTCTTAAGGGGTTTGACAGGGTCAATGCTGAGAGGATGTTTCCCCTCATGGGAGAGTCTAGGACCAGAGGCAAAGTCTCAGAATAAAGGGGCACCAATTTAAGGCTGACAGGAGGAATTGCTTCTCTCAGAGGGTTGTGAGTCTTTGGAACTCCTGGCCACAGAGAGCTGTGGGGGCAGGGTCCTTGTATGTATTTAAGGCTGAGATAGATTCTTAATCAGTTGGGGAATTGAGGATTATGCCACGGGAGCCATGTTTTTTTTTTATTAATTCATGGACAGGAGTGTTGCTGGCTGGGCCCAGCATTTATTGCCTGTCCCGAATTGCCCTTTGAGAAGATGGTGATGAGCTGCCTTCTTGAACCACAGCAGTCTGTGTGCTGTAGGTTCACCCACAATGGGCTTAGGGAGGGAATTCCAGGATTTTGACCTAGTGACAGTGAAGGAACAGCGATATATTTCCAAGTTGGGATGGAGAGTGGCTTGGAGGGGAACTTGCAGCGAGTGATGTTCCCATGTATCTCCTGCCCTTAACTTTACTGGTGATTGAGAGTAGACCGGTAGGGTGGTAATTGGTAGAGTTGGATATGTCCTTTTACCTGGGCAATTTTCCACATCATCAGGTTGATGCCAATGTTGTAACTGAAATTACTCCACAGAGGTCAGTACCCTATCATTGCATTACCTTTTATTTACACATGGAAAGTTCTTTCCTCTAGTGCCACCTCATTCCAAGTCAGTTCTCAGAACCTCTGACATTCCTATTTTTATCTGTTGGGATTAGGTCACGGATTAGGTCAG